AAATTTTGTAGAAAAAGAAAACCTCGGGTCTCACAGTCTCTTTTAAACTGAAGGGATTAAACTGAAGCATGTGTATTTAGAATGAGAATTAGAGACATACTGATTTTTCAACACACACAAATCAGAAAAAACGGGAGCTGGGTAAGATCACTTGGCACTGGCAAACAGAATACTGCTGACTAGGAAAATACATCTCGTCATTATTAGTGTACATTAAACTGCTGCTTTTTAAATAATGATATCCTTAAAATGCAAAACTTAATGTGGTCAGCATTTAACTCCTATTTACGTAGTAGACTATCTTTTAAGAATGTCTCCTATGATATGGGCTGCAAACTAATTTTCACAGATCTGCTGCATAATAACATACCATTTGGAAGATAATAAGTGTAATTTAATTCATACATTTTGGCATTTTATTTATCTAAAACTAATAGGCTGCTATTAAATATTGACAATTTTATTAACTCAGCATCTGGAAAAACACTTATGATTAGGTTAATTTATGCTATATTTTCCCCCCAACTTGTAAAAGATTAATCAACCATTTTATAGTGTAATTTAGGTGCCTAATTAAAAACAGAGCTCAACATATGCTACGCTGTCTTGCTGGTAAATCTTGACAGCATTCTAACACAATGGTTTGTGTTTCAAATTGTTGCATCTCAATGCAGATGTCTGACTTCTCCCAGCAATCTAGAAGTGAGCCTCATACTTGGTTTAAATTCCAGGATTGAGGAAGTGCAACTATTTAGAAACAGATTATCTCCAGTGAGATCTTAGCCTCTAGTGAATCAGAAATAAGGCTGGGCACCAAGTTTTTAGAAACAGACTAGGCATATGGAGGTGGAGATCAGTTAAGAATATAAAGGAAATTACTTGCTATTTTTCAGCTGTCTCAGAGACATTTATTGCTGGGTTTTAGGACCTCTAGGAAAATCTCAGAGTTCTCGCTACATCTGCCTTTTGATTAATAAGCACAAAGTCATTGCTGTGTCCTTCTTGACTTGGAATCATTCTGTCTTCTTAAGTGAACAGATTAATTCCAAGGAGCTTGAGAACATGTCACTTAACCTGGGCCTCCCAGTCTGAAAGGGGCAAATGGCATTGAATAGACCACTTCCTCCGGGAGACACTGGCTGTTTTCTCAGTCACTATACTTGAGGGGTATTTTTGTCATTTTAATGACTCCTTTGATTCTAGCTGTCCTGTGCAGAGAAATAAAAGTGCCAGAATGGTATGATTGTCCTCATCTAGTTAGAAACCAGTGCAGGATGGTTCCAAGTCAACTGTCCCAGTATTTGAAAAGCTTTAAGATAAATGACAAAGTGGGCACTCTGCACGGTGGGGGTGGGGGAACTGGGGGTGGGAAGGAAACCCTCAAACTCTATTAGAACAGAAATCACTTTGAATAATTGCACATGACTAACGGCATGTTTTGGTCACTAAAATCAGGGAGCCTGGCACAGAAGGGCCTTCTGTGGAATAAGACCTCTGGCACTTTCTAGCTGTGAGACATTGAGCAAGTTGATTAACCTCTCTGTGCCTGTTTCCTCGCCTGTCAAAGTATCCACTTTATGGAATGGTAATGAGGATTAAAGTAGCTAACTGGAAACAGTACCCGGCACAAACATTTAGTACAGTGTAACTACAACATCATTACACCCCCCACCCCCCCCACACACACACATGCACGCACGCACACGGGGGGGGGGGGGTGGAGGGCAACAGCTGAAGTGCCAGCTTGTTTTGTACAACTGAAATTGAAAGGGAAACCAGTCTGTGAAGGGAGTTCCCACCACTGTAAATTCCGTGGAGCAAATGACAAACAAGGACTACGTTAATTCTTAAAGTCGGGTCATCAAATTCGTGGAAATATACAAAAAAATATATACTTAAGCCGAATCAAGAAGAAATGGTTGTTTTTTTTAAAACGGTTTCATTAATACTTTTCCAGTTTAAATCCGGGTACCACACGGGTTGGAAATTTGCTCCACCTGAGGGTTTTAAGTTCCTGATCCCCCCCCCAGCCCCAAACCTCTCAGATACCACATCCCTACATGAGGGAAAAGGCCACATCCTCTTAGATATCACCATCGGGCAATCACCGAGTTTGAAGAGTGATTAGAGAAGCCGGGGTATGAACTGGAAGGTCAGCTCAGAACTCTTATACAAACTGCGACTCAAGCAGCCAGAGGCTGGAACTAGCTCGCATTAGCTTTGTGATTTTTGCAAACTTGGGCGCTGTAAAGAAACCCGATGTCTGGGTGGTGATACAATCAGCTCCAAGCTGCCACCTCTGCAGGTTCTGGCCTCCCTGGAGTCTGGGTCACCCATTGGCTGATGGTTTCTTGGTAGGGAGATACAAGGACCGCAAATTTGCTGGCATCCAGGAAAAGCTACTAGGCCCTGGGTCACTGGTTAGGTCCCTGGCGGGGCTGTGTATTAACCCATAAAACTCGCTCAGACACAGTCACGACCTCATTCTACAACCGATTGCCAGCTGACCCCAGAACTCAACCACCCATTCCACACCCCCTCCCTTTTTGTGTCAAGTGCCTTTAAAAAGGCCTCTCCTCGCTCACATTCAGCCTTTGAGTACTTGTTTTAACCATGGTTCTGCCTTGCAACTCTGGTTAATTATTATTTATGTTGTTCTCCAGCGCTAGCCTATCTCTGGACAGAGCAGGAGGGACCCTGCAGGTCTGAATTGGAGCGCAGCCCTGTGAGCCTGGTGGGCTCCAGTCGGCCTAAGTGCAGCGCTCTGGGTCAGCATTTCCGAAGCTTTCTGGATTTAAAGTTTCAGAGTTGCTTTCAAATTAATCATGAAGTCCTTACATTGGCCCAGGCACCCAGAATAGTCTAAAATGATTTACAGATTTTAAGTAAACAGCATTTTAAGCATTTTTTTCCCTTTAAGAAAATGTTCAGTAACTGCCCGCACGCCGATCCCTGGTGGGACAGCCCGGGAAGGCCGCGTTCAATAAGTACACTTGGGCCATGGCAGTTAGATCCAGCAGGTCACCCGCTATGGGGCCTGTGCCTCCCGGTGCCGTCAGAAGGAAAAGGACCCTGGTCTACCGCGGCCTGGTTGAGCGCGGTGGATCAGGGGCTGCTGGCGTTGGGGCTTCGCGCTGGTCCCTGCCACTCTCTTGGCCTGCGCTCTCCGCCCGTCCGAGCACAGCCAGGGCCTCCAGCGCCCCATGGGCGGTGGCAGGTGGAGACAGCCACCTCCGCCTCCGCCTCTGCCTCCGCCTCAATCTTCCAGAGGGGATTTCCACCTACTGCCCCAGGTGCCTCTAAAACCCTCAATGGTGCGGTGCTTCGCCTGCCAGTTCCTCCCAATTCGGCCTCAAGTGGGTCTGACCAAAAAGGCCTGGGCTACCTCGGGCTCCGCTCTGCCAGAAATGGTTCTAATCATTAGCCTGCCACCCGGTCCTCGCAACATTATCCCAGTAGCGGGGTGTGTATGGGGAGGACAGTGGGATAAAGGCAATATTAACACATCGATGGCAATAGCCTACGCTTCAGCGAGGCCCCCAAGGTAAACTGCAGCTGGCTACACCGAAGTATTTGCCCAGGGCCCACCCAGAATCCGCGTTATTCCCAGTGCCCGATAAGAGAACCCAGGCCCACTGGACGTGAACCGGGGCGTTGTATGTGAGTCCCCATTCTTAACTCGCAGTGTCCTGGGAACCGCGAGAAGGGCAGCCGTCACAGATGGCTCAAATCCCGAGGCTTGGGCAACTCCTCACAATTAAAAAAAAAAAGCATAAAGGACAAAGGGGAGGGGGCTAGCGAGGCTGGGAAAGGAGATGCTTTAATCCTCGGGGGTCAGGCCCTTTCATTCGCCATACCATCCGGGTCCTGGAAAGTATGGTCGAGGCAGAGAGCGGGGTTCGGTTCGTGTCTCTCCTTGTTTTCAGAAGTCGTGACCCTCTTTGAAAGTAATTGGGACTGGAAAAAAAACAAAAAACTCGAAGGAGACGCGAAGGTTGGGTGGTGACCTAAGGGTCTGGGGACCCGACCGGGTTTCCGGAGACTGGAGTGTGACCCCTCCAGCAGCTCACACCAGACCAGCAACCCGGGATGCAGTGGGCAGAGGTCGCGATTGTGACCCCGGAGTCTGGGTCCCTTAGGAACTGGACTCACATCCGGAAGCCACGACCTCGAGGCAACCCCCATTTCTCAATCAACGGTCCAGGGATTTTCTTTGAGCCCGGACATGCACTGGGTCCGCCGAAACTCGCGTCCTTGCGGAGGCTCTCTCGGCAGGCACAGAGGCCCGGGAGCCTGCGGACTGCAGTGCGCGCCTTTGCCCGATAGGGACCAGCACAGCTCCACGACCAGCGCGCTGCAGCCAGCAAAGCGGCGCAGCCACCTCGCCACCCTCCCAAACACAAGAGGCTTGCTAGCCAAGCCGGTAAGACCCCCTTCGGGTTCCGGTAACAAGGAGAATTGTAACAAAAAGTTAACAGACTCTAGGAGGCCTTGGCGCGGCGCCTTAGCCTTCGCCCTTCTTCCCATCTGGGCAGCAGAAGCTACTCTAGCGGTTGGTGTATGGAGGAGGCTGCTACCCAGAGGCGCATAACACTGCCACAGCACTCCTTCCCAGGTCCCGGGTTGCGAGAACGACAACAAAATCCTAGCCACGCGAGTTATTCGAGTGGAATGTCGCCACCGCCGGAAGGTAGCCGGTTCCTCTGGCGCTTTCCCAGTAGCTGCCCGGTATCTTTGCAGGTCGCCTGAATGATTCTAGGGCGCAGCGGACCACGGAACCACCGGCGTCCCGATACAAGTTTCTGTAAGTTGCTGTCACAGCCTAGCAGGGCGCACCCAGATTCTCTGCCACCGCCCACCCGCAATGTGAGGTCGCTCTTTGGTCCCTACCCTCCTTCGACTGCCCGAAGTTGTACCCCTGCTACCTCCCCACCTGACAAGTAACGGCTCCATGGGGCTCACGGTAGGGATCGCGGCCAGCGCAGCGAGAAGAAACTTACCGGTACCAGGCGAGACCCTTGTGGTAGCTGCGGTCGAAGAAGTGGGGCTCCGCTCCCACGGCGCGCACGTCGGGGTGCACGCGCAGGAACTCCAGCAGCGCCCTCGTGCCGCCCTTCTTCACGCCGATGATGATGGCCTGCGGCAGCTGCTTGCTCCCGGAGCCGCTGAAGAAGCTGGAGATGGGGCTGGGGGAGTCCGGTGTCTCCGGACTTTGCTCCTCCTGGCTCCCGGCGACTACTGTCTTATCGTTGCCTGCAGCCAGTGAGTTGGCCGGTGGCGCCCGGAAAGGCATCTTAGGGGATGTCTCATTCGAAGCTGTGACCAAAGCAGGCTGAGCATGAGCAGCGCGGGATCCCGAGCCCAGGAGCAGCAGGCCGGGCGCGGCGGTGCAAGAACCGGCGCACGAGTACAGGAACATGTAGAGCCAGATGCAGAGCATGGCGAAGAGCAGCGCGAGCTTCCTCCTCACCGGCGGCGGCGGCTGCGGCGGCTGCGGCAGGAGCCGGCCCGGGACATCGAGGCAGGACCGGCCGCCGCTCAGGCGCTGCCCCATGCGCGGCCCGCGGGCGCGGCCAGGGGCATGGCTCAGCACATGGCTCAAGTCCTGCCGGAGCAGAAAGCACCGGGAGGGTACCCTGCCGCTCTGCGCCCAAGAGATTCGGTTTACTGCCCTCGTGTGCGCGCGGCTGCCGAGGCTGCGGCTCTTCCCCGGGTGGCGGCGGCAGCTGCAGCAGCGACGGCTCTTGACATGTTGCCCACCAGAACCCGGCACTGGAGCGCAAAGTCCGGGCGGCGGGAACTGCGGATAGACTTGCTGAGGATGATGTACCCCGCACCCCGGATACTCTGGACGGGGCGCACGGCAGCTCGCCGGGGCTGCCTCCTCGCAGCCAGGAGATTGAGAGCAGCCCCGGCGCTTGCCCGCAGAGGCTGCGGAGGAGAACTGCGCAGGAAGAGAGCCCGGCACTGAGGTGGAGTGGGCGGTCCCGGCCTTCCGAGTGACGGGCGGCGCTACCTACCAGGAACCGCGAGCAGCATGCAAATGTCAGAGCTTCACCCAAGTCGAAACATCCAATCCTGTCTCGGAACGTGGGGGTGTGGAAAGGGCTCGAAAAGGGGGGGAGAGCAGTCTGGGGTTACTATTGGCTTCAGAACCTAAGGGGCGGGCTCGGGGAGGCGGGGCCACCGGCTGGTGACAGGAGCAGATGGTGAAGATGCTGGAGTGACCCAGTGCAGGAAGAGGGCCCACCCAGTTGAGTGCCGCTCCCCTGTACAGGCGCGCTTTTCTGCACTCGATCCTGGAGGCACCCTTGGCTGTAGTCGCCTTATGCAGTCCCCATCCAAAAGTTCCGCCATCTGGTTCCTGAGTTGCAGAGCCGAGATTGGGATGGAAGAGGGAAAGCCTACTGGACATATATCAAACCCCAACAGTGGCCCCAACAGACCCCGATTTAGGAAGTTTAACCAGGGGAAATCTGGGCGAAAGTCACTGACAATCTTTTCCCCAGTCTATCTTAATATTTGTTGAGAGCGGTCTCTTTGCGCTTGCTGGTTAACTGGGGCCGGCTAAACTCTACTTAGTGCTTTCCAAACTGTCTTGAAAAGGCTGGGGAGGGAGGTGGTTTGCTTAATTTTAAGACCCTAGCTGTAATTTTAAGTCACATTAGGAGGTTTTATATGGGTATCTGTTCCTTGGCAACACTAATTTGATAAATACTCTAACTTCCCTTTCTTTTGAATAAATAATAGCGCCAACATCTGCCCCTGCTTAGGAAATTGTTTGGTTTTCTGACCTATGACATTGATTCTTTGGCGTTTTTCTCCAGTAACTTTTTTTATTTGAATGTCAATATGAGGCACATCCACCAATAGTTAAGTGAGTAGCACTTATTTAATAGTGAAAAGCCATTCCGAGGTTCTTCCTAGTTTCTCACCTTTGCCCAGGAGAGAGGCGGGGAAGAGGGTCTTCGCAGAAACTGTCAGCGCTGGTGCACCAAGCCTGGGCGCTAGTGCTCCGCGGTGCCCAATTCCTGCGCTGGCGTTCAGAGTGAGGAAGGTTGGGATGCTGAAGTTCACCCGAGTGGCTTGTGTGCCTTTCAGTACCTGGAACCCACTCTCCACAAGGCCGGCGGTTTCAGAGCAGAATTTTCATTCCTTCGGACCCCCCCCCCACTCCCCGCGCGGGCCAAGGAGGCCCAGGAGGTGACTCACTCTGCGGCCACCAAGTGCTGCTCTTCCCGGTGGGTACAGGCTGGCTAAGCGGAACAGACCTTATCCCCCACCCCCACCCCCAGCTATCTGGGACCAATGTGCAGGTAACCAGAGCACATACTTTCCCTTCCGGAATAAATGTCCCCAAACCTCCGGAGCTCTTGTCGCTCCCACGCAGTCCGCCTTCCGGCCACTGGGACCAAGCTGAGAAAGTGAGTTTGAGTTACGCACCTCGGATTTGAAAGTGCATCCTAGCCATAGCAATGACCAAAGAGGGAACCGATGACAGAGCGGTCACCACCGGACCTGTGCGCTTCTTCTATGCTCTTTAGACATCCCTATGTATCTAGCTCGAGCCCAAACCAATTTCTCACAAAAGTGCTGCGCGAAGGGGGAGGGCATTTGGTCGGAGAACACTTTTCTTTCTTCTCGTTTATTGCAGCAGTTAGAATTCCCAGGGTTCTGTGCCATCGTCCCCCCCCCTCAACCCCCGCTGCCGCCATCGCTACGATGTTTGTTTTTCGAAGTGATTTAATCGCTCTCGTTTTTAATCGGTAAATTTAATTTTATTTTAAATTTATAATACAGAGAGCAAATGCATTTGTGAGCAATAAACCGACTTTTTTTTGTTCTGAGATCGAGGGGAAAACATCATCGGTGTCTCCGAAGGGAGCGTTTTCAAGTTCTCGTTGTTTAGATGGGAAGGAAGTTGCTGATTTGTGAGTAGTGAATTGTAATTCCCACGTGGCTCCGTTCAGGCCTGACTGAGTGTGAATAAAAATGGTCCCTGTCCTGTGGGTTAGCAAAGGCCATTAACTGAGCAAGTGAGCGATTACAAATCGAGGCCACCGGATATATATTTGGAGTCTCTTTTTCCGGGGGTGGAAGGAGGAAGGCAGCCAGTGGAAGTAAAGACGTGGGCGTCGGAAATTGTCAAGAGTGTGGCGCTGAGCTGAGCGCCCCAGGGCTAAGTCGCAGCCTGGCTCACTGGGTCCCACTGCAGAAAACAATAGGGGAGTTCTCCCTTTGCGCCTCGCCAGGGCATCGGCAACCCAAGGTCAGATAGTGGGCGGAGTCAGAATGGCAGCACCTGCAAGCTGCAGTCGGCAAAAGCACGCTTTGGCCATTTTGCCTTTAGGCTCTTCAGGAGCTGTCCTGGAGCCTTTGGGAGTTAGTCCTGTGCCGCTGCTCCTCTCGACTACAGCCTCAGCAGATGTCATCTCCTGCATAGCCTTACGGCCCGCAAATACAAGACCGGAGGTTCGCTCCTGGGCAGAACTGAAAGCCAAGCTGACTGAGAGCCCAGATGGACCCTCTTCCCTCATCTGTCACTCCTGGGCATCCTACAAGAGCCACCACCAAAACCGGAAGAAAAGATTGCCCTCCAATAAACGTATCCACAGTGTTTGCTCTTTGGAAAATACGTTAGGGAGAGAATTCAACTTCAGCACACCTGTGGGGTTTATGTTTTATTTGGGTTCCTTTATTTATGATTACCTAATGGAGACGCGTAACCAGGGTCTGGAGGGCGGTTCTAATTTGCAGGGCAGCGGTGATCATTGCCCTCTTCTCCCTTGTCCTGTTCCTAGCAACCTGTTGTGACCCCAAACTTTCTAAAAGGATTGGCTTGAGCCAAGATTCCGACAGAACACGTTCCCGAGCTTCCATCCAAGGCTCAGGACTGCTGGTCTAGCAGCTGCCTGTGCCAGCCAGCTAAGCCTGCGACCAGCCTCCTTTCTGGTGACTCCCCCCACCCCCGACTCCGCGGGACAGCAGAGCAGGCATTTCCTGGGCGGCCTGAAATGGCGTCCCAGGGTCCCAGTTCCTGCCACCGGAACCCTCAGCATCTCCCTTTGCCAGCTCAATCGTCCCAGTGACTGAGCAGCTGCGAGCTGGATCTGCCTTCCGTGGTCAGGCGGGAGGGAACGGCGGTGGGTGCGGCCGCGGGTACCCTGCCCGCCCGCCAGGGAGCGCTCCGGCCTGCGCCGCTCTGGATTGATGGCCACAGCCATCTGGACTCTGCAGCGCCTTAAGGAAATGCTTAGACTGGATACCTGTGGCTTCTGGCGCCTCCTGGATGTCACAGGCACCGGGATCCTCTCCGTTTCTTCCAAAGGCTAAGCATAGGGAGGGGAGAGGGGTGAGGAATCCCTGGTGATGGCAGGGTGGGGTACAGGGGGGCGGTGGTTCGCCAAATAGGCCAGAAAAGCTTCCAAATACCAGGTCCCTTTGTGTGGGAGGAAGAGCCAACATCAGCCCCAGCGGGTAGCTGAGCCCAAACTCTGACTAAATAAAGCCTGGGGTCATTGGGGGGGGAGGGACCCAGCAGCCAACCTCACAAGTGAGATGGTGTCCTCATTTCGTAAGAAAAAGATGTGTGACCCCCAGATTGAGCTAGTGGCCCGTGAAGTGAGGATGAAGTGGAGTGCTCACTCCACAGTCGTTCAGTACGGTGCACCAGACCCTGGCTGGGGATTCCTAGCATCCTGGAGACCTGAGCAGAGAATGGAAAGCCGGGAGGCCAAGAGATGCGTCCCTGTTCTGGAAGTCAGTTTCTGTCAGGAAGTCCTCTTTCCACAGCCTGGCGGTAGGCAGGTCCCACCCGGTGGGCTGTTCAGACTGAGGAGGGCAAAGAGACCTTTACTGGGCTGTGCCTTGCCAAAGCGGGGCCCTCCAGGCCCCTTAAAGACTTCTCCGATTATACTTTTCATCAGAGCTCTCAATGGAAGGCCTAATTCTTCCCTGCCAGGACTCAGGCCTGTGCTCTGGCAGTTCTGTAAGGCTTCCCCTAATCTGCCTCCCACTTCCTGCCTGCGGGACAGTAGAAAGCCAGGAGGCTCTACTGAGCCTTGGGACACCAGGTCCTCCGTTTGTCTTCAGTTCCTTCCTCTTACAAGTCGACCCCCAACACCCAGGCCAGTTCTGTCTTCACTCTCCCAGTCAAGACGCTACCCTGATGGGGGTCAGAGGTAGAAAAGACCAACCCCATTAAATTTTCCCACCACAAACTGTGCAACAACCCTACTAAGCGTCTTCAGGATGTCTACCTCCCCTGTGTCTAAAACAAGCTTTCTTCTTTTATTTGTTTATATTTTGTTTTGTTTTGATTTTTGAGACAGTGTCTCACTGTGTAGCTCCGACTGTGTAGAACTCACTATGTAGACTATGTAGACCTAACTCAGAGATCCTCTGCCTCTGTCTTCCGAGTGCTGGGATTCAGGAAGTGCTAAAAGAAGCTTTGCCTCTCTCCAACAAGATGAGGGGTTCTGGAGCTTCACTGAGAACACATGGACTGCCCGGCACTGAGCACGCCTTCACTACCAAGCTCCTACTACCTGTCCA